TCTTTATCAAACCAACCAACATATAAAAAAAAGTTATCAATAAGTGTCACTTAAGAAATTTTCAGGTAGACCCGAAAATTACCCGAATACCCGAAACCCAAAAACCCGAATTACAATATAGGTTGGGTATCGGGTATTATTTTCTGAAGGAAATACCCGTTCTACCCGAAACCCAAAAATTTTACCCGTTCACACCCCTACTATATAGAGAGGTGATTTTCCCAAAGTCCAAACTCCAAAGTGAACAACTGTTTCCTCCTCCCATCGGCCTTCGCTGGTGCGGTCAGGTTTTACATGACCCGTGCCACATGTCCGACACGTCTTGTGGGTTGGTTGCAGGTTGCAACCCTTTTAAACCGCTGATAACAGGTGGGTCAAATACACATACTCATCTACCTTGAACTCCGATTACGCCACAGTTCCCAATAAACAAACGACGACGACGTTTCACCTCTGCTTTTTCTCTTGTCGACGAAACGTACAGTTTGATTAAGCTGCATCGGGATCGATCTCTTGATTCACGACTTCCATTTTCCTTTACTCGTAAGCAATTCGATTTCAATCGGAAGTCCCGAAGAAACTCTACGACGATTTAGGTATATGCTGCCTTAGTTTTCAGTTTTTGGATGTTTTGAAGATTTTAGTTGTTAATTACGTTTATGTAGTTAAACTGTTTGAATCATAGGTTGCGATGACCTGATTGATTAGTTAATGCAGTGATGGTATTTAATTGGGTTAAACTATTGATCTTTTCGTTTGGTTGATGAGATAGTACTGGCTGAGATCGAATCTACAATTTAAACTCAAATGTGGCTTGAAAGGGGTAAATGCAAGGAATTTTAACTAAGTTTTTACAATGACTCCATTAGATCACCGATAAGAATATTTATTGTTCAAATTAACAAGTCCTTTGAATTTTGGTTTCAAAATATACATTGTTTGATCTCAAAAGTCAAATGCATCTATAATTTTGCAGCCTAGAGTATCATTTTTCTCCCCTTCAACTCTTATTGCAATGATTCTATCATGGGGATTTTGAAGCTAATTACCAGGATGCGAATGTAACTTGAGATTTTTTTTACTTATGCAATGTTACAAGAATACATCTTGCGCAAATAGTTGCAACTTTTTCTTGAAATGTTTCTTTGTTGCACTAAATAGTTACAAAGAACTATAAAACCTCACCTCACCTAGCTGATAATGCTTTTTGATCTCTGGAAGAGCTAGTATGGGATCAGACAATTGCAATTGGCATTCAGATTTGGACTATGATCAATGGGTTGCCCTCCCTGTAGCTGGGCCACGGCCATCTGCCCGTTATAAGGTTTGTATATTATATCAATAAAGTGTATTACATACATATCTTCATCCTTTTACTTATCAAATTACTTTTGTCTTCATAGTTTTATACATCATTTCCCTCTTGTATTGTAGCATGCTGCAGCTGTCATCAATGAAAAGCTATACATTGTTGGTGGAAGTCGTAATGGGCGATACTTATCTGATGTTCAGGTATCAATTATCATCATGCCAAAATCGCCAATACAATTCTGCTTATCAAAGTTAACCATGTTTCCATTGTGGGTTTAACAATGGGTGCTTATGGTTGTAGGCTCTTGATCTAAGAAATTTAATTTGGTCCACGATTAAATTAAGAACTCAGTCAGGGCCTGATAGTATCAAAGATGGTAAATTATTGGAAGTCTTCCCTGCTACATCTGGTCATAGTATGGTGAGCTTTTCTTCCAGAATCATCTAGAACCTTCTCTTATCTACATAGTAGCTTAACTAGTTCCAGTTATCATCTAACCATGGTCTACATTACAACTCCTAATGTAGGTCAAGTGGGGAAACAAACTCCTCCTCATTGGTGGCCACTCAAAGGATACCTCTGATAATGTGGCAGGTTTGTTCTCACAAGCACATGGTTTATGTAGTTTCTGTAGAATCTAATGATTTATTAAGTTACTTGTAGTGCGTTTCATTGATCTTGAGTCACATGTGAGTGGAATAATGGAAGCCAAAGGAAAAATTCCGGTAACCCACAAACTTTTTTTCAACTTTATGAAGGTCAATGTGGTCAAATTGGTCAATATGATCATTGTTTTGCTTGTGATTGTATCTTTTAGGTAGCTCGTGGTGGGCAATCTGTGTCATTGATTGGTTCAAAACTTATAATGTTTGGGGGAGAGGACAAACACAGACGACTTTTGAATGATGTTAATGTCCTTGATCTTGAAACAATAATTTGGAATGTTGCTGAGACTACGTAAGTATTATATTATTATTATTCCCTTTTTATTGTTGTGTGCTTCAAGTTTCAATCTTTTAAAATGCTTTAATATGTTCTGATTTGATAGGTTGACTCCTCCAGCTCCAAGATTTGATCATACAGCTACTGTTCATGGAGATCGATACCTTCAAATATTTGGTGGTTGTTCTCATTCAACTTTCTTCAGTGATCTTCACGTGCTCGATTTAGAAACAGTAATTATTAACCTTTCTTTATGCTTTTTATTATAAGATAAATATATATATATTTTTCTTCAAATATATTTGTTAAAAGACATGACAATTGACAAGTTCTCTTTTACTGCAGTTAGAATGGTCCCAACCACAGATTCAAGGTAACATTGTGTCTCCTAGGGCAGGCCATGCTGGAATCTCTATTGATGAGAAGTGGTTCATTGTTGGTGGTGGAGATAATAAAACTGGTACATATTAAATATATTAAAATAAAATAAATAAATAAATATAAATAGAATGTTAACAATATAATCACTTTTGGTTGCAGGTGCTTTAGAGACACTTGTCCTCGATATGTCTACACTTGTCTTGTCCATCTTGACAAATGTACAAAAGAAAGATCCCCTTGCTAGTGAGGTTACTAAGTTTTTACCAAAAACATCACTTTCCAAAAAAAATATATTTATTAAGTTTTTACCAAAACTTGTAAATAAATGAAACAGGGGCTCAGCATATCATCAGCATTGGTAGATGGCGAACGGTTTTTGATTGCTTTTGGTGGATATAACGGGAAATATAACAGTGAGGTATTGTTTATAAACATATAAATTTTTTAATCATTACTATAGCCTTTATTAAAATATTTATCTTTATATAATCTATTAGCTTGTATATCCTTATTAGGTTTGTGCAATGAAGCCAAAACCAAAGGACTTAAAACACCCAAAAATCTTTAAGTCATCAGCAGCTGCAGCTGCAGCAGCTTCTGTAACTGCTGCATATGCTTTAGCTAAATCTGAAGATTTGACAGCTGTCGATAATTCAAAAAGTAAAGTTGATCTTTCGGTTGAAATTGGTGTTATCAAAGAAGAAAAAAAGGTGTTGGAATCATCTATCGCGTGGGTCAAAGCAGAAAAGTCAACCCTAAAGTCAAAGCTCTATGAAGTCAATGAAACTCATGTTGACTTGTCAAAGGAGTTGCATTCTGTTCAAGGTCAACTGGCTGCTGAGAAATCTAGATGTGCTAATCTGGAGGTCCTCTTTCTCTCCATCTTTTTTTTTTTTTTTTCGATTAAAGATTTATAAAATTTTTAAATAAATTTGAGTTTGGTATTTCAGGCACAAATATCAGAGCTACAAGTGATGATGTCATCAATGGAGTCCATAGAGCAGAAAGTTGAAGCACTTCGGTCGCAGAAATCTGATTCTGTTCAGAGACAAACTACAGCTGTATCTTGGAGGTGGATGTCTCCATAGAGTGGTGGATGTCTAAATCGGTCTTTTTACCATGTTTGTTTCCGGTCTTTTTTTTTATTGTTTCGTCTAATTGTTAACAGATTATAAGAATATCTTTTTTTTTATGTGACCATGCATTGGTTCTTTCTTTGCTCCTTTGTTATAAACTGGTACAAACTAGAATAATAATGATATAATTTTTTATAAACGGCAATAGTAATGATATAAGTGATTATGATAAGTATGCAAAATATCTAGAATAAAGTGAAAGTATATCTAATAGTCATATCATAATTAATATGTCAGCAAATTTAATTGTACCGTTTTTTTGAGTTTAATTGTAAATAAAAAACTAGGGATTGATTTTTTCCTTAATATTGTCAAAGTTTAGAAACTCGACACAATAAAACTACATAAAATAGAAACTCGATAAATTAATACGCGATGATTTAATATATTCTTGAAGATATGTTCATCAAATAATTTGTTAAAAGTATTAGATAATTTATAGACCCCATATAAAATATAAATTAATGATTTCTTATATACTATATACTATGTGAGGAATTATTAACTAATATTTTAAATGAGGTCTATATATTTTCTTGTAATTTTAACGAATTATTATTTTGCACTCTACGTCGAATCGGACCTACCAAAAATATTATTTTTAAAGAATTTATTAAATAATCGAGTATTAATTTATAAATTTCTATTTTATGTAGTTTTATTGTATTAAACAATGATGAAATAAAATGGATTAAGTTATGGAATTTCTTAATTGTATACAAAATCAATGTGACATTCGCAAAAGCCTCTAAACTTTGATTCCACTAACGAAAAACCATCCTTGGTTTTTTATTTACAATTAAACCCAGAAAATTGGTAAACATTAGCGTTAGCCGAGTAAACGACTCATTTTGCAAATGTTCACCGGCATCTCGGGCTTAACTATAAGGGAAATCTTCAACAAAAGTCCTTAAAGTTTGGTCCTATTAACAGAAAAGCTTTCCCTGATTTTTTTTATGGATTAAGCCTAGGATACCGGTAAACGTTTGCAAAATGGACTCGTATGCGATACAAGGGCCATTTTGCAAATATTTATTGGTTTTTTTGGCTTAATTATAAATAAAAGAAATCAGTGGTAACTTTTTCGTTAATACGGTCAAAGTTTAGAGACTTTTTTTTTTTGGAGATTTCCCATATATATTTGGTTGTTTAATGGTAGCCTTTGATCTTTTATCTGCCACTGTAACCGATCTTCTTGGGTGTAAAATAAGACGACTTAGGTGTGAAGAATGAAAAGTGAGTGAGTTTCCACCTTTTTTATAGGTGACCAAGTGAATATCAAATTGTTCTAAATACAATTTACTAAAACCAATTTTAGTCATTTCTTTTTCCATATCTAATTACCACTCAATTTCTTATTACTACAAATACAGTGAATATAATAAGGACTCTCTCATCCCACAATATTTAAAAAAACCATATATATTCCAAAGTATAATTTCTAAAGTCTAATATATATATATATATATATATATATATATAATATATATATATATATATATATATATATATATATATAGAGCTAGGTTCATTTGTTTAAAGTAATTATTGTATTATTGTATGCATAAATGTGGGCCAATCAAATTTAAAATAAAAATAAATAATTAAATTAATAAAATAAGGATAAATAGGTAATTTGATAATTAGTTTCCACAAATAATATCCTATAATTATGGTAATTTGATATTAATCACGTATATTTATAGATGATAATTTTAGGGTTTCAATTTTCCAATTGACTTCTAACCAGAGCCAAGATCAAAATCCCGATTTCTCGATTGGTCACTCCAATTCGTGACCAACACCTCAGATTGGTCACAGCAATTGACACAAGAAACTGAACCAGTACATGAAGAAGATGCAACTAACGAAGAAGAAGAAGAGGAAGCAGAATCATATTCAGAACCACCTGAAGAGGCAAAGCTTTTTGTCGGTAACTTACCCTACGATTTTGACAGCGAGAAATTGGCTAATCTCTTCAATTCTGCCGGAGTAGTAGATATCGCCGAGATATTAATCGATTGACTTTTCAGTAATTTCTTAATTAATTTCGTATGTTGCATCGTGTGTTTACAATGGCCGATTTGATGTCTGGTTTTAGGTTATATACAACAGGGATACAGAACAAAGTAGAGGATTTGGGTTTGTGACAATGATCACAGTAGAAGAAGCTGAGAAAGCTGTGGAGAAGTTCAATGGCTATGTAAACTTAATCTTCTTCTCCATCTATCCATCTTAATTACTACATATTCACATTAATCTGTAATATTATTATGAACAAAAACAGGATTTGAGTGGAAGGGCTCTTACTGTAAATAAGGCTGCACCAAGAGGTTCACAATCAGAAAAACGAGTGGTGGGGACTTCTTTCAAGATCTATGTGGGTAACCTAGCATGGCAAGTGGATAGTGAACGTCTGGAGCAGACGTTTAATGAACATGGGAAAGTGGTCAATGCAAGGGTGATTTATGATCGTGAAAGTGGAAAATCACGTGGGTTTTTGTCAGCTTCGTGACATTCATCTCTGTTACTGTTTTATTTTAATTACTTCAAACTTATATTTTCCACATTTCAGATCAGTATCTACATGATAATCTGTAAGATAACATGAACGTTTTTTCATGAATCCATTAAGATTAATTCAATTTCTCATAAGTTGAAAGCTTTACCATACATACAGTTGAAGTTCCAAGATTTTGATTTTTGTTCAAGTTCTTGTTTTCATACATTGCAACTGCAACAAGACTACAACCCTTCATTCATCTCTAGTTTCTTGAACTCTTGGTAACTTGAATTTGTTTCTTCATTCATCTCTAGTTTCTTTAATTTGTTTCATTCTTTTTTATTTAACACTTCATTTATGTGGACAGTGCAGGATCTTGACAAGGTTGAATTCTGAAAATGTATCAAGTTTGTTTTTGTAGATGATTCAATGGTTGATATTGGTGAGATTCCAATTCTATTGTAATGGAATCACGAATTCCAATTCTGTTGGAATGGAATCACGAATTCTAATTCTGTTGGAATCATAGAAGTTGATGTTTGAAGAACGGACCACAAAATTGAAACGGACCACATTATTCTTTTAGAATGTATTAGTCGTTGTTAGATTTTGATGTAATTCTTAACAATTGTTACCCGTATTCTATAAGAAATAATGTATTTTTTGTTTTTATTCTTCAATTGATTGTTCAAGGATTTGTTATTCTACAAGAAGAATTTAAATTCATGATCAAGAAATAGGTTCAAGAATATTTTTATTATTTATGGTTCAAGAATATTTTTATTTTTGAATATACTCATAAACATATTCTGTCAGAATGTCCGAATTAAAAAAAATTATAATATGTAAAATCAGATTTTTAAAATTAATAGAATCTATGATCACTTAAAAAATGCAATTTTCCTTTATTAAATCTATATTAATTGACTAAATTACCCTTGTAGTTAATTAAGATGATATTTTCAATTATATTTAATTCAATAATATATATTAATCACTTTATTAAAATAAGTAAATTTGATTGGCCCACATTTATGCATACAATAACACAATAATTACTTTGAATAGAATAACCTAGGCCTATATATATATATATATATATATATATATATATATATATATATATATATATATATATATATATATAGGAAAAAGTTTAATAGAGAACCATTATTAATCAAGGAACCAAAGAACCAATCCAAAACGTCGAAATTTAAAGCGATCAACGGAAAAAGGAAGAGTTATAGACTTTTACAATGGACGCACATGCACCGGATTATAAAAAAACTCACTTCCTTTTTTTCGTTTAAATTTTTTTAAGCCATGTTTTTTATCGAAAAAGAAAACCGAGTATACCGTTGTTCACGATTTCGCGTCCTCTTTCCAAAGAGATCAATGATGATATATAAAAAACAATTTTTTTTTCCGAAAAATCATACTTCATTTTCTTTGTTTAAAAGTTAAGGTCTATTTTTTTATAGAAAAAAATGAATAAATATATCAAAATTCATGCTTTTTGTACTTTTTAAACATACATTCATACTCATGTAAAAAAAACGATATTTCGGTTCAGATTCACATTGTGAATCTGTTCAGATTCATATTCTGAACTTGTTCAGATTCACATTGTGAACCTTCTCAAATTCATAGCGTGCATAATAGTAAGTCAGATTCACAATGTGAATCTGAACTGATCGAGCTTTTTCACATTGTGAATGTTAAAAATTGAAATATTTACAGTTTAGATTCACAGTGTGAATCTACACTGATCGATGTTTTTTTTTTGTGAACCTTTTCAGATTCATAGTGTGCATAATAGCAAGTCAGATTCACAATGTGAATTTGAACTGATCGAGTTTTTTCACATTGTGAATGTTAAAAATTGAAATATTTACAGTTTAGATTCACAGTGTGAATCTCCACTCATCGAGTTTTTTTTTTTTTTTTTTTTTTTTTTTTTTTTTTTTTTTTTTTTTAAGTCGGTGTTGATGTTTATTAATAGATTACAAAAAATTAATATTGTTTGGTATAATTAGTTTTTTTTTGATAAAAATAAACTTAAATATTGAAAAAACTAACAAAATGAAGTGAGTTTTTTTTCGAAAAAAAAGTTCGTTTTTTATATATCATCATGGATCTCTATGGAAAGAGGACGAAAAATCGAGAACAATGGTATATTCGTTTTTTTTCGATAAATAATGTGGCTTAAAAAAAATTTTAAACGAAAAAAAAAGGTGAGTTTTTTGGTAAGAATGTGAATTTTTTTGGTATAATCCCGTGTGTGTGCGTCCAATGTACAAGTGTACATCTATTTCCTTGGCCGTTGATCATTATGATTTCTAACGCTCACGATTAGTTATTTGGTTCCTTGTTAATTATGGTTCTTTATTGAACCTCACCCTATATATATATATATATATATATATATATATATATATATATTCATTTCACCATAATTTTTTTATAACATCAATATATTTTATTAAAAACAATAATAAAATGCAGGAAGTTGGCTGCTGACACAAATACAATGTAAATAAACTAGAAAAGAAAACTACATAGTGAAAACCAAAATTCAAAATTACAACCTGAGTTCTTACATATCAAACATAAGAGTAACCTAAACAATGAACTTTTAACAACATAAATTTTGAAAGTCTAGTACAAAATATAATACTCTCAATTTGATCCGGAACCATCAATTATAAGTTTAGACTTTGAGACTGACTTGGGATTTTGGGAGCATTAGCATATGCTTTGCATGCCTTCATGTTTTAGTTATCTTTGTAAGTTGATATTTTGATTTTATCTTATAATATTTATTTCCCTAATTTGATCCTAATCTTTTAATGTTATAAAAAACTATTTTGGGCATTTGAATTTGGGTTTGGATTGATGTCTTATCCACTATATTTAAGATATTTTGAAATGCATTCAAATTAGGAAAGCTTGCGAGGGATGATTTTAAAAGAAGATAAGACATTTAAAAGACTATGGATATGTATTAACAATTACTTTACTTAATATTTGTTTTGTAATAATTGTGAAGACATCCTTTAACTAAATGTGAAAATATTTTGAATTTAAACTTTTATATTTGAATTGGGAGAAATTAAATATCCTCATACTTTTTGTTCCTATAAATCTTCCTACCCAATTAAATGATGACATGTGTCATATTAGTATACTAAAATATCATTAAATTTCATTAAATAAGCATTAAATGTTACATATGTCATTATTTAATTGAGTATGAGGATTTATAGGAACAAAAAGTAGGATGATATTTAATTTTTCTTAAATTGGTGATTAAAAATAGCTTAAAAGAGAGGAACAATACACACCCACATTTGCTCCCACCACCGGGTCACCATTGACCCCCCCATCGAGACTTTTTTTGGGCGAGTTGGTGACAAGAATTGCATCGCAAACAAATTAGTCACTTCACTGATGGACATCTAGGAATTTGTGTTCTTATTATTGATATGTAACCCCAATAAAATTTAGGTCAAAAATAAATTGATCAATAATTGTAATTGGGATGGACAAAGTGGTAGAGATTGTAACAAGGTTTCCAAAAATATAAAGAACACTGAAATCCGAGTTATAACGAAGAAGTTATGACCAATCAAAGATCCGCGACGAAACCGGCAAAACACTGTTCAGTGTAAAAAGTGAATTTTCAATACAAGGCTTTTTAGCCATAACAATCTAAATGAAAGTTGTAGATTATGTTAAACCGAGAACTTTCATAAAAAGAACGTCAAAATCTGACTTCATATGAGAAAGTTATGATTTTTCTAAGTTTCAGTATAACAGTATACAGCTAAAAACTCGAAATAAAGATCGAATGATTTTTAGCCGATACAACCTAAACGAGAATCGAAGGTCTCGTCAATAGTAGTACAACGGTAAAAAGACAGACGAAAACAGACTTTGAATAAAGAAGTTATGAATTTTTAACGGATTTCCTATCCCGGTCTATTAAAAATAATAATATTAAAAATAAAGTCAAAATTAGCCGACGAAGACTAAACAAAAATCGTAGAGTATAACTTTACCTACGCTTGCATATAAAGAACGTCGAAAACGGAGCTCGTATGCAAAAGTTATGAATTTCGCAAATTTTGGGCACGAAAATCGAAAAATGTTGAAAACCGGGAAATTTCGCATGGTCACCCTTCAGCCACGTCACCTCGCATGCGAGGCTTCTCCGTGTCCACCCCGTGTCCGTATCTGATTCGACCGAAGTGCGGCCCAATGAGAAGCAGACGCGCCTCGCACCGGTGGCATCTTCCGAGCTCGCACACGCGCTTCGCTTCTCCTTCTGCTGCGTGTCTAGCCTCCCTTCGCACGTCCGATGCGTGGCTGCCGACTCTTCTCTTCGGCCGAACCCTCGCAACCCTATATAAAGGGTGCAAGATCTCTCGGATTTTTGACACATTTCACCCAAATTTTCACCTTTCTTCACATTTTCTACCCCCACAAGCCTACTTACAACCCCCCAAAGCCCCGATATCATATCTAAAACCCAAAGCAAGCCCCGAAGCCCCGAAATTCTCTAGAAGCTAACCTCTTTCCAGTCGAAGTGCTGCCCGCGTAAAGCCCGGTTTGTAATCAAAAACTCGCGGTTTCTTCGAGAAAGATCATTTATAGAAACGAAACGCTGCCCAAATCACCACTTATCAAGTGAGTTCATACCCCTATAATCCACCTTTTTAATGGTTTTAAATGCTTTTTAAGGGGGGGGGGGGAATACAAGTTGAACACAATCTAAATTGTGTTAATAATTGTATGTGATAATAATCACACAAAGGGTTTCCTTATGCTTTTAAGGATTACCAAATACTTCCAAAATGACTTAAAGCCATGTTAAATCTTTAAAGTCATGTAAACTCTTTTAATACTGTTAAATTCTTCGAAAAAGGTTTTATAAACTATTTCAAATTATAATTATCAATATCATATACATATATGTATAAGTATATAAATAAAACTTAAAGGGCTTAGGA